ACATATAAACTTATCTAAAACATTATGGCTCAACTACAAAACTCTGCATCTCCAGTTAATCCAGTAAACCCCTAACCATGTCCTCCTTTGGGTAATCTGGCCCAACAACCCAACCTAGCACAACAGCCACAGCAACTCTAACAGCCTCAGCTACTCAACAACTAATGCTATTGACAACTAGGCAGCCCAAATTAAGTTGCTGGATTAACAAATACAAGCAGCTCTGGCTCCTCAGATTAATTACAATTCACTAAATAGAAGTTAAACCTGGTGGCCTATCCTGATTTTCTGGGAGAGGATCAAGACCCCATGATCTGGCGTGATGAGGTAGAGAAAGCCTTTGTGGCCAATTTAGTCACCAATGACCATTGTATTTCTGTTATTATCTCATATCTAAAAGATGCCACAGCTACATGGTGGGCAACCACTCAGTGTCCACCTAACCCTATCAATACCTGGGATGATCTTGCACAAGCAAACACTAGTTTCTGTTCCTATTTTATTCTACAATTCTGCACCCTGCATTAGAGGGCAAATAGTTTGCTGAATTAGCTACTCATAAGCAACAAGTCAATAAAGATATTGATACTTATCATACCACAATTCAAGAATTGCTTTGAAGGATCGAGACTAGAGCCTAGCTATATTCAGAAACAGCCAAGACCTAGCTCTTTTTAAATAGACTATGACCTGACATAGTGTTAGCCATTGCTCTATTTATCCCAAACATATTACAGATAGCATATGATTATGCCAAGGCCTATGAGAGTGCCTGTAAACAAAACTTGTTCTATCTTTCTACCTCTATTAGTGCTTTATATTCTTTGCAAATGAGTTCAAATATACCTATTGGGTTCAAATCTTTTGTAACAACTTCTGAGTTGGCTATTAATAAATTAACAGAAGCTATTAATAAAATATTGACCCAATTACAAGATTGATGATCTACCCTAGGAAATTTTAATAGAGTGGTTTGCTACAAATATAGAAAGGTGGGACACATTAGTCGTAATTGTCATTCTTCTACTACATCTAACCCTCTATCTAACACCCCCAAAACTATACTTTACCAAACCAAATGTATAATCCTAGACAAAATTCAGTTCCAGCTACTTATATTTTTTCTAATTTAAATCCTCAAAATATCTCTATGTCTGTTAGTCCTAATCCTACTTCTAATACTAATATTAATAACAATGTTAATCCTAATTTAAATAATATCCTGGAAGTACAATTCCAAGAAGCTTTACAAGCTTTACTAGCTATAGCAGCTAGTTTAAATTCGTCTCCAACCCAAAATGGTTTGGATAACCAAAATCAAGCTAATAATCAAACTATTTTTCTTAAATTATTTACTGAAGACATATCTTTCTGCACAGTAAAGTCAAATACATCATGACCTTCAAACCGTCTTCAAGAGGAGGTTGGTAACCTAGAATAAGGTGTAAAAGAATCATTGGAATCATTGTTAGAAAAAGAAAAAGAAAAGAACAAATTAGAAATTGAGAAGAATAAGTTAAATAAAGACAAGGATACAGGTGACTCTCTTAAAATTTCTTTGGTTAAGCCTAAACGTGTTCTGGTAATTAGGCAGAAGGTTCTTGAAGATGAAATGCCTCAAATTTCTACCATATTTTATCATAACTAATTTGCATAACAAACTCACAAATATCACAATTGGTCAACTTCTCTATGCTATCTCTTCTATGAGGCTAAGTTAATCTGAAGTCTACATAAGAAAAAGACTGTTCCAAAAAGAAAAGTCAAAATTAATATTAGTATAGCTCCTAGTAGTAAGTCTATATCTTTATATTGCAATACCACTATTCTTGGTATAGAGATACTCATAATAGTGGATAGTAGGTCCTCTAGTAGTGTTGTTACTTCTCATTTACTACATAACCTTGGTATTAAAGTTGAGAGACTGTTTACTATTAATATGGTAAATATTCATAAAGAAAGTAAGCATGCTCTTGAAGAGATTTTTGACTTCCCCTTTGCTGTTGCTGGTATTGAATTTCCTATCGATGTAGTCATAACCAATACTAGTTCCTATCATGCTATTGTTGGAAATGATTGGCTTTCAAAAGTCCAAGCCAAGATTGATTGGACTACTGCTAAGATGACCTTTACTTGAAATAATCAAAAAGTTATAGTTCCTGTTGAGTTTAAAAGATTACTACCTAAACCTTTAAGTAAAAATCGCTCTAGTAAAGTAAAAAGCCTAAATAAAGAAAAAGAAGAAAAATTAGATGAAGATTTAAGTGATGATAAATATGAAGATGAGAAATTAGAAGAAAGAGTATATAATTACTCAGAGTTAGAAGAAGATAGTTGTCTCTTAGATTCAGTGAGGTTCTGTGAGTTATGTTTAGTTTCTTCAGCTATTATTCTGTTAACCCTTTCTTTGTCTACCAAAGTTAATTGAGAATTAAAGTTCTTCACATCTTCTCTTAAAACCCAGAGAGAGTGCCTTTCCAAAGATAGTAATAATTTAAACTCTAATAATTTAATTACTCTTCTCGTTCTTTCTTCTCCTTTGAAGAATGATGAAACTATTAGATACTGTAGTAATACCCAATCTGTAAAAGTAGCTCCCACTAAACTTAATGATAATATTTTGCCCTTATCTATAACTTTCTGGTATTAACTCTCTTTGAGGAGCTAAAACCTTATATGTTTCAACTTAAAGCTCCAATTAGGTTGTTCTTCTAATACTTTAGATAATTTAAAAATTTTTCCTAATAGTATATCTTCTTCATCTCCAGTTGTGATATCAGAAGACATTGTTGATAATATTTTACAACTCATCCCTTTAAATTATGTATGCAAAGAGATATCTTTACCTTCTCAAATTTTTAAAGACTTTCCCCTTTTAGTTTATTATAAAGTACTTACCCCTGCTAGTAAGATACCACCCTCAAATAAAACCTTAGATAGTAATAAGATTAGCTTAACCACCCTTTTTTATACTCAACAGGATTCTTTAAAACCTATTACCTATAGTAATAAGATAGTATCTCTGTTTATTAAAGGCCCCAATAGTAACCCCCTGACAATAATTCTCAAGTTTGATTCAGATGAGTCTACCAATTCATGTTTTTGA